GAATTTAATAAAATAATATTTGGCTGCATTTTAATGCTTAACATAAAAAACAACAGTTGACTTGAAACTTCTCCTCATGGGAAGAATTACACATTTCCCAAAGAGGAAGTCACTCCTCATTCTCTCTTGGACCATTTACAATTTTTGACTACAGGCAAATGTACCTAGTTCTGCCACAAAGACAACATTCCTCTCTTCTTTTCCCTACGATTGCTGAATAGACATTCTGGAGGTGTCTACATTTAGGCAGGTGACTGGTGGGAGTTTCCCTGCCCCCAAAACACCGGAAATCAGTGCAACTTAATGAAATTCTTTAAAAATCTGTTGAATACCTAGGGTGTGCTGGTTTTCTACTAGATACTAGAGATTCAAAGGTAAAGAATAAACCATCTTTGATGTGAAAGAACTCACAGTTTGGTAGAGTAGATGGGAATATATAAATATCATTTTTACGTTAGACAGACGGTGAAGGCAGAGCTAAAAAACAGTGCATGGGAGAACAGGACAGAGAGACATCTTTTCTCATTGTGAAGCTTGTTGAAGTGAAGTGGGAGGTAAACTGGGTATAGAGACATTAAGGTTGTTCCCTGAGCATAATTCACCTCATCCTTCCTCAGTAGGTGATCACCAAATAGCCGTGTGATTTGGTAGGACTGATAGGACACCAACCTGACTTCAGGAATGGGTGGACATTGGTCTTAGCCAATGATCTGCAACAGAGATAGTACCCCACTGCTAGGGGCCAATTGAAAATCTATGGGGACATTTTTGGTTGTTACAAAAGCTGGGATATGTTACTGCCATTTAGTGGGCAGAGGAATGTTAAAGGACCTGCAAAGTAGGGAAGAGACGTACTGCAGTGAATTGCTTGATGTGGCCCTTCTAGCCATTGTCCTCCTTTCTGTGATGTTTTGTAAATCCCATTATCCATGCCTGTTTGGGGTGGTGTGGTAGTTAAGATCAGGTATCAACTTGGCTGGGCAGCTGGTAGTAGTCATTCCCTATAATGACTGGCAATCAACTCTGTGATGGGATTTAGGTTAATTCTGTTGGGGCAACACAGGTAGAATGTATCTTGAGTCCTGCCTTGCTGGAGGGTGTAATTCAAATCACCACCCTTAGCTTCCCTGAGGGTATACCTACAAATCTCCTGGGAAGATTCGCTCTCCTCTTGCTCCGGCTTTGTGTCTTGGATCATCCTCATCTCACCCCTGGATTTGGGACAGCAGCCATCATCTGATCTGCTGATCGAGGTTCATCAAACCCCGAGGGTTGGGAGGATCCGCCAGACCTACTCACGGACCCGGGACTCGCCAGCCTGCCAGCCTCCACCACTACTACGTGAGACAAACCCTTGGTTGTCTGTGAGTTCTGTGAGGCGTTACAGCAAAATACAGTACCCTAAGACTGGGGAAATTACTGGGAGGAGGAGGAGGAGTTAATGTCTGAAATGATGGAGTGGCATGGTAGTTTGGACCTTTGGGACATCTTTGACCTCCGCCTCATGGGGACCGGCCTCGTGCTGATCTTTCTAAGAGAAATTGTTCAAGCACGTACAAAATGAAAAACTGTCACACTCAATGAAAAACTGTCCCACTCCAAAAGGCTAGTGGGAATCCTTTTTGAAAAAACAAAAAACCCACAAAAACAAAACTTATCTTAACCAGTCAGAGAAATCCCATCCTATGTTGCTTCAGAGCCTAGATCTAAGGCAATTCACTCACAGGATTCCCCTGGTCATCCCTGTCCCATCAGAATAGAGCTCTGGGCTTTTGTTCATATTTGTGGGGAAGCAGCCTCTCTGTCTCCCATTGTCCCTGGAGGTACAATCATTTAGTCCTGGTTTGTGCTGGCTTATATCCATGAGAGCAGCCAGATGTAGGAGGAAGCTAGCAGAGGGGAAGGATGAAAAGAAACAGCCCCTGATGATCACTGAACCATTTGCTTAGCTATCTGAAGGCTGCCCTTTCTCTAGATATTCTAAATATGAGAATCAAGAAATTTCCTTATTAAAGACAGTTTAAGTTGGGCTTTCATTATTTGTAATTTGAAAACATCCTCAATGGTAACAGAGTGTCTTGAAATAAATAAAATTCAATGAGTAGGGGATGGAGGAGAGAGTGATGTTGTGAGTAGTAGAAATAGTTTGAGTAATAGTATTAAGGATAAGAAAGCATGGTTAATATGAGGGGGAAATACGATGTTTCCAGGGCCACTATGGTGGGAGACAGCCTACTGCTATGGCCTGTTTCCACTAGATGAAGAAGAGGAGAGAAAACAAAAAGGAAAGTTGGGAAGAGAAATCAAAAGAATACTTTGTTAGTGGCAACTTCAGATCATTAACTGGACTAAATAATTTGTTGATATACACAGAGGACACTGCCATTGATTTTTGTTTCCATGACTTTTTTTTCCAACATTCAAGCAAATGTCATAGAACACATGAGAAGTTTTCAAAATTAATGGCAAATTCACCTATTTCATTAAATACTCATTTGTATACAGTATGCTCAATTGTTAGTATAACTTATAACTACGACATATCTCTTTTTCCCCCACTTTTAAGCTTTATTTTATGGAGAGGTGAACATGGAGATACCATAAATCTATTGTTGCTAAAGAAGAGATACATGCTTAATTTTTCTTACTTTGGAATCTGCAACTATTCTGGTGTCTTTTCTTGGAATTCAGAGAGGTCTTACTGAAGTGAGGAAACTTACTAGTGGAGTCCTATGGTGATGAGTTAACCATTTTTATATTTGGTATATTTATGCGTGATTCTGTACCAGGAAGCTTTATAGTTGAAACCTGAAAAGTTATAGTCCCTGCTTTCAAGATGC